TCGTTGGAAATTTCAATTCGCACCGGAATTTGGTGGGGCGCTTCTGGCGCGGTGGGAGAAACGAAAAATGGACATACCTTTGCTTGTTTTGCTGCACCTTTGTTTGTCTGTAAGATCTCTCCATCTTTCTTGTCCACGAGAGAAAAATAGATTGCAGGTCTAGCAGGGATAAGGATTAGCACATCAATAGTTAGAGTGATAAAAGAAAAAGTGATAAAAGAAAGGTTGATGGATTTTTGTGACAAGATGATCTTCCCTGTTTGACATGTCTGGCTTGCCGTCTCTACTCTGTGAGATTTTAGCTGACCGAGGTGAGAGGTAGATAATGCGTCACCAGATTTATGATATTGTGTTTTCCACTGACATGAGAGCTTCTCGTGCTGATAACGTGTTGTAAAATCGACTGTGGGTGCAGTGGAATAAATGAAACAAGACACAAAATTTACGAGGTTCCTCTACAGTCAGTGTGACTGGAGTACGTCCTCGGGGCAGCAGTGGTGCTTTCATTATAATTTGAAATAATAGGAGTACAAAGATAACTCTCTCTATTATCTCCTCTCATCTTCCTCTATTCTCTCTCTTCCTCTTCCTTCTCTCTCTTCCTCTTCCTTCCTTCCTCTCTTTCTTTCCCGTGAACTACCCTCACTTCATTCCTCTTCTTCTTTTATATAAACAAAAGAAGCACTATTCACTTTACAAATTTTCCACAAATGAATAGTGAAATTACCGTGCATAAATAGTAACAAACTATTCATGTGGACCATCCACGCACTATTTACAACATAGCTATCATTTTTCATGACTTTGTTGGCATTGTTTCTCTTGTGGGGTTTGGCTTTTTGTGTCCCATCTTTATGCTACCTTTTTCTTCTTTAATAGTTTAATAAACGTAAGGGGCTGATCCCCCTTGTATTAAAAAAAAATATTGATGTTCTAGACAGTGATTTGTAATATTTGCTCTCGGAGGAGATTAACTCTTAGTGTTTTGTTTCTTTTTACTAATTGCCTGTTATACATGTTCCTCTCAGTTAGGCCTGTTAAACGGGTCGTGTCTGTCGTGTTCGTGTCGTTTTCGTGTAACACCTGTTATCTTAACGGGGCGTGTCGTGTCACACCTGTTATCTTAACGGGTCCTTAACAGGTCGGGTCACTTTACCCAACGGGTAAAGTGACCCGACCCGTTATGACCCGTTAAGAAAAATATATTTTTTTCTTAAATTTGCACATACCACACATTACCACATAAATATTACTTCAAAACATTAAAACATATTTGTCATTTAAGTACTACATCTACACTCGAAAATAAGAGCCTAATAAAAAAACATCCATACACTAGTCTATTACAAAATATTAAATGTGCAAGGATATGCAAAATGAAAGAGTCATAACCGTTAAATCGAAGTTAAATGTGCAAGGATATGCAAATCGAAGTTAAAATAACCGTTAAATCGTGATTTTTTGTTTTATAACCGTCGAAAAGTTTTGTCTCATTACTTGATCTCTGAATGTTTGTTTTTTGTGATTTTTGGCGTATGCAATCTCGAAGCATATACAAACAAGTTTGACGGTTTGATCGTTGAAATTAGTTTCATAGAATTTGTATCCCATCAAAACGATAGATTCACTAACACTTAGAGTTTATTTATACTTTCATTAAGTATAAAATAAGATTTTGTGGTATCCACTTGTGTAAATATTTTAAATTGACGATCGAATTCATTCATTGTATTCGTATAGGGTCAACAAGTGTAGTTGTAAAAAATTATCAAAATCGAAGTTAAAATAACCGTTAAATCGTGATTTTTTGTTTTATAACCGTCGAAAAGTTTTGTCTCATTACTTGATCTCTGAATGTTTGTTTTTTCTGATTTTTGGCATATGCGATCTCGAAGCATATACAAACAAGATTGACGGTTGGATTATTGAAATTAGTTTCATAAAATTCGTATCCCATCCAAACGATAGATTCACTAACACTTAGAGTTTATTTATACTTTCATTAAGTATAACATAAGATTTTGTGGTATCCACTTGTGTAAATATTTTAAATTGACGATCGAATTCATTCATTGTATTCGTATAGGGTCAACAAGTGTACTTGTAAAAAATGATCAAAATCGAAGTTAAAATAACCGTTAAATCGTGATTTTTTGTTTTTTAACCGTTGAAAAGTTTTGTCTCATTACTTGATATCTGAATGTTTGTTTTTTGTGATTTTTGGCATATGCGATCTCAAAGTATATACAAACAAGTTTGACGGTTTGATCGTTGAAATTAGTTTCATAGAATGTGTATCCCATCAAAACGATAGATTCACTAACACTTAGAGTTTATTTATACTTTCATTAAGTATAACATAAGATTTTGTGGTATCCACTTGTGTAAATATTTTACATTGACGATCGAATTCATTCATTGTATTTGTATAGGGTCAACAAGTGTACTTGCAAAAAATGATCAAAATCGAAGTTAAAATAACCGTTAAATCGTGATTTTTTGTTTTATAACCGTCGAAAAGTTTTGTCTCGTTACTTGATCTCTGAATGTTTGTTTTTTATGATTTTTGGCGTATGCGATCTCGAAGTATATACAAACAAGTTTGACGGTTTGATCGTTGAAATTAGTTTCATAGAATTTGTATCCCATCAAAACGATAGATTCACTAACACTTAGAGTTTATTTATACTTTCATTAAGTATAACATAAGATTTTGTGGTATCTACTTGTGTAAATATTTTAAATTGACGATCGAATTCATTCATTGTATTCGTATAGGGTCAACAAGCGTACTTGTAAAAAATCATCAAAATCGAAGTTAAAATAACCGTTAAATCGTGAATTTTTTTTTATAACCGTCGAAAAGTTTTGTCTCATTACTTGATCTCTGAATGTTTGTTTTTTGTGATTTTTGGCGTATGCGATCTCGAAGCATACACAAACAATTTTGACGGTTGGATCGTTGAAATTAGTTTCATAGAATTTGTATCCCATCAAAACGATAGATTCACTAACACTTAGAGTTTATTTATACTTTCATTAAGTATAAAATAAGATTTTGTGGTATCAACTTGTGTAAATATTTTAAATTGACGATCGAATTCATTCATTGTATTTGTATAGGGTCAACAAGTGTACTTGCAAAAAATGATCAAAATCGAAGTTAAAATAACCATTAAATCGTGATTTTTTGTTTTATAACCGTCGAAAAGTTTTGTCTCGTTACTTGATCTCTGAATGTTTGTTTTTTATGATTTTTGGCGTATGCGATCTCGAAGTATATACAAACAAGTTTGACGGTTTGATCGTTGAAATTAGTTTCATAGAATTTGTATCCCATCAAAACGATAGATTCACTAACACTTAGAGTTTATTTATACTTTCATTAAGTATAACATAAGATTTTGTGGTATCTACTTGTGTAAATATTTTAAATTGACGATCGAATTCATTCATTGTATTCGTATAGGGTCAACAAGCGTACTTGTAAAAAATCATCAAAATCGAAGTTAAAATAACCGTTAAATCGTGAATTTTTTTTTATAACCGTCGAAAAGTTTTGTCTCATTACTTGATCTCTGAATGTTTGTTTTTTGTGATTTTTGGCGTATGCGATCTCGAAGCATACACAAACAATTTTGACGGTTGGATCGTTGAAATTAGTTTCATAGAATTTGTATCCCATCAAAACGATAGATTCACTAACACTTAGAGTTTATTTATACTTTCATTAAGTATAAAATAAGATTTTGTGGTATCAACTTGTGTAAATATTTTAAATTGACGATCGAATTCATTCATTGTATTCGTATAGGGTCAACAAGTGTAGTTGTAAAAAATTATCAAAATCGAAGTTAAAATAACCGTTAAATCGTGATTTTTTGTTTTATAACCGTCGAAAAGTTTTGTCTCGTTACTTGATCTCTGAATGTTTGTTTTTTGTGATTTTTGGCGTATGCGATCTCGAAGCATATACAAACAAGATTGATGGTTGGATCGTTGAAAATAGTTTCATAAAATTCGTATCCCATCAAAACGATAGATTCACTAACACTTAGAGTTTATTTATACTTTCATTAAGTATAACATAAGATTTTGTGGTATCCACTTGTGTAAATATTTTAAATTGACGATCGAATTCATTCATTGTATTCGTATAGGGTCAAAAAGTGTAGTTGTAAAAAATCATCAAAATCGAAGTTAAAATAACCGTTAAATCGTGATTTTTTGTTTTATAACCGTCGAAAAGTTTTGTCTCATTACTTGATCTCTGAATGTTTGTTTTTTGTGATTTTTGGCGTATGCGATCTCGAAGCATATACAAACAAGTTTGACGGTTTGATCGTTGAAATTAGTTTCGTATATCCCATCAAGTTCAATGGTGTGTGTATATATATATATTTATTATGTAGATTTAAATCTATTTATTTTGTACGTATAATTATTATAGGTTTTTTTTAGGGGTATAAAATTTAATTTAAAATTTACTATATATATATAATTATTATAGTTAATATTTTGGGGGTATAATTATTATAGTATATATAATTATTATAGTATTTTTTAGGGTTATAAAATTATTAAATTAATATTCTGTTTATCGTATATCGTGTTACCCACGTGTATACCCGAACCAACCCGTTATCTTAACAGGTTCTTATCGGGTTACCCGATAATACCCGATTCGTTATCGTGTCGACTCGAACACCTGTTAATTTCGGATCGTGTCAGGAATTGCCAGGCCTACTCTGTACACATTAGACAACATATCATATTATTAGTTTTAGAGGAATGGCAAAGTAGGTAGAACATAGTCCCATCTTCTCTTATCTCTCTTTTCTGCTGGCTTTGTAAAGTCCAAACCAGACTCAGACGAAGGGCAGCCTCCAGTGTGCTGTACTCCAGCACGGTCGCCGACCTTCATTTGAATGTTTTGCCGAGGGAGAAGAGGGAGGGAGTAAACGGGGATGCAAATACAAGGAAACAAAAAAGGCAGGAAAGCGGGAAATAAATACATTAACTTATTATGTTTAAGCCAACCTCTTGTATTATCTCTAACTTTAACTTGAAAAGAACCACAAACGTCGATTCCTAGATTGTATTACATATATAGGTTTAACATTGTCACTGCTCTTTTAAGATACTTTATTATCCTGCTTTCAGCAATATCAACCTCGTGCTTAAATAAGAAATCATTCAAATGAAAGGAACTAGGCGGTTTATACGAAAAATCGCCATGAGCTGGGTTCTCCTGCCTCCTTCTGAATTGAGCTTGATGAGTTCGATACCTATGATTACAAAGAAAGTACTTGCCTCTCCACATTTCATACATTGATGTTGATACTGCCACGTCTCCAGCAACTACATTACTTTGGCTCCAAGGAAGTATATCTTCACTATTTGATGCAACATCCTTACCCTTATTCTCGTCCTCATACACAAGTTCGATTCCAAACTCCTTTGTCCACAAACCACACTTCACTGAAACGCGGATTTCTTCCCCACCCTCCAGTTCATTGTCTCTGAAAGTCCAACGGCTTAGCCACAACATGTCTTCGTTCTCTTTGGGAATGCCCATTGTGACGGGGGAATAGGTCCACATACGATCCTTGGTCTCATTACTCACTTTAAGAAACTGTTCACTGGCAACCTGTACACCACCCCTATGATCCGGTTGTCGTGCGTATACAACACATGCGTTTAGGCCTCGGATCTTGAGATTAACACCTGAAGGTATAATGACTGACAACACGGAATTACCCATGCTCCTGTAGCTGAACCAATTTGGAATCTCGCTCCCACAAATGTAAATGCTAAATATGCCGCATTCCTTTAATCCCTGTTTCATAGAGAGAATTTATTCAAACAATTACAAGCTAGCAGTTGATTTTTAAGCTGTTCAATCGTTAAACTCCAGTGTCATATTGAATTTTGGTTTTTTTTTTTAAATCAATATATGTACGAATATACTATAAATAATGTATAGAAAGGGAAAATGAACCTGGAGGGGACACTTCTTGGTTGTATTTGTCAAGTAGTTGATCATTTCGGCCTCAGATCTTTCTGTGGATTCCAAGTTGAACAAGCCCATGTTTCTTATCAGATCTATGTCAACACTGCTCAACAGTTTTATCTCGAACAATCCTTGAGCTTCAACTAATTTCTTACAATACCAAAAACTTTTACACAATGACCTGAAAATGTTTGGTAAATTTGTTATTCTTTTCAATGATGTACAATGATTCGCTTCCAATCTTGTTAAACTTAAGGGGAGCTCTGGAAGTGTTTGAAGCTTTGTGCAACCTTCTAGCAGCAGAGTTTGGAGCATAATAAGATCCTTCATGTTTTGTGGTAGGTTCAGAATTGGGTTTGCAGATAGATCCAAATGCTTCAACGCCGATAAGAAACCAAGATCACTAGGAATTTCTGATAAATTGCAGTTGGCAAGACTTCTAAAGAATGTGGTAAACTTTTAAATGAGAAACCGGTCAATTCAAGATTTTTCCTTGGTAATATCCACGACACGATAGATTGCCATAATTTAGTTGATAACAGGTTGAATTTCTTTGTAGCAATAGATGAGGAGTGTTCCTCAGTTGTTGCTTTCGTATTGGAATGGAGACCAAGCTTTGAGCAACCGGAAAGAATGAGGTCCTGAAGAGATCCCAACCTACTAACACTTGCTGGAATCTTCATGAGATTTTTGCAGTCCCTTAGATTCAATAAAACAAGTTTCTCTAAGTCTCCAACTGACTCATCGAGCTCGACCAAATTTATGCAATCTTTAAGAATTAGTCTCTCAAGGTTAAGGAGTCCCGACATGTCAGGGGTTGTTTTAAGGCCGTGCGAATGACTGAGATTGAGAATTTTCATCCATCCAAGAAACTATAAAAGAGAGATGCAAATTAAGGTTCATGAGTATAGTATTTTCCATTAATATGTGTACAGGTAATGCACGGAGACTAAATTTGTAGACAAAATTTTGTAAACTAAATGACATGAAGTGGATTGGATTATTACTTAAACGTTGATAAACGTGTTCATTCTTATTTATGACACATCATTTAGTTTGCCTAACATTACCCGTATGTGTACAATCTGTGTGGGTGTGTGCGTGTGTTTTTGTGTCTGTGTGGCTCACAGAGAGAGAGAGAGAGAGTATTGTACCCTGGTTCCCTTCCAAGCATGTTCCAGGCTGCTATTCCGCAAGTCAAGAACAACTAGATATTCCAAGAAAAAATTGGCTGGTATTGATTTTAAAGGAAATCCTCGCCAAGACAACCATGTCAAATTTTTTGGAAAATCTTCAAAGTCTCCATTGATTTGGACATTATTGAGCAGGAGAAGCTGAAGACTATTCATCCCTCTAAATGCCTCTGTTTTGAAGTCCATCTCATTTGATGTAGAACGTTGAGCTAAATTTGTTGAGGAAAAGCTCAATGCAATTGATTTCCAAGAAAAGTAATCAATCCGACGACGTCTTGAAGCATTTCCTTCATAATCTTCAACATGGCATCGTTTTCTGTTACTTTTACCAAATAATGTCTTGTAAGACTCATCTTCCATCAACACGGGCAGGTCGAGCATGAGGCCCTTAACCTTTTTTGTACCCTGCAAACAAATCAGACCATTCCATTAGTAGCATGGCACACAACACAATTGCAAATGTAGCTAAAACTGAACATTTTTTTTTTCTTACAGTTCTTTTTCTCAAAATGTTAAAGGCATCTTTATGCCACACTCTACTACGTTTTCCGGGATCTTGAGGTGATTCTTCCCGAATAATTCCCCTTCCCATGTCTCTAAGCAAGTGATGCATGCCCAACCTGTTGTCTTCATTGTCAATTTTTACGAGACATCTGTCTACCAGATTTTGAATTCCAATCCTCGTGTAAAAATCAAGGCTGTCCAGTACTGTAATTGCAAAATTCTTCTCCTTTCCAATGATGAAACAGGCTATGTGGAGGAATAAATTTTTGTCATGATCATCTTGTAGAGAATCATAGCTTATTCGAAGAACTTTTTGAACTTTGCCATTAGGAATTTCGTATAACTTTTGTAATGCACTTTGCCATACATCTACTTCTTTCCCAGACAAGGAAGACCCGAGAACTTGAAGAGCTAACGGAAGCCCTCCACAATGTTTTACAACAGATCTCGAAAGTTCTATGTAACCTTCAATTGGATGGGATTGTCCGACGGTATGCCAACTGAAAAGCTCAAGTGATTCATACTCATTCAATTCCTCAACCTTGAACATTGCATGATCTTCATGTGCCCTTAACAAATTTTCGTGTCTCGTTGTTATGATGATTTTACTTCCTGGATAAAACCATTCCCTGATTCCAAGAATTGCGTTAAATTGATCCAAATTGTTCACATCGTCAAGAACAATAAGAACTCTTTTGTAACATACAGCATGTTTGATCTTGATTATTCCTTCATTTGTGCTGTATATTTTATTTGCTTTCCCCTTTTGGATATCCGAAAGAAGTTTCCTTTGCAAGCGAACGAAACCATTGGGTTGTTCTGAAGTTTCTCTAATATCTGCAAGAAAACTGCTACTTTCAAATCTTGCATGGTTGAGGTTATAAGCAGCTTTGGCAATGGTGGTCTTGCCAATTCCACCCATCCCATATATCACAGCTACACCAACATCATTTGATCCGTCTTCTAACCACATGTTTATGCCTCGCACACGATCGTCTATACCAACAGCATATGGGGCAACGTTCAATGCTTTGGGGTCTAATTTATTTCCAATCTCTTTAACAATATCTTGGATAAACTGCGATTCGTACCTATGAATTATTGATCACATCAAAGTACAAAAAGAACAATAAGATCATTGTTGCAATAATTTGATGAAATATTATCAGTATGAGAACCTCCTGCTAGTACAAATTGAGTGTGCTGATCATTATGTCATAATTATAAGACTTTAAAACATGTCAATTTAAATTCAAGAAAAATCTTATACTTTCGGAAAGTAATTACCTATCTTCCAAAACCATCCCTGCCAGATCCGCAACATCTCTAAGTGCTCTTCTCCACTCCTCCACCTTATCCATATCCTCCTTGAAACGCTCTTCGTGTCTACAAAATGCTTCTCCGAAGCTCCCAGTCTGTTTCCTGACATGGGATGGATCCACATCATAGAAAACCGGCATAACAAAATGTCCATCATCACTTCTTCTTCGTTCCATGATCTTTGCGAGTTCATCCAAGCACCACCTAGAGGTTGCATAGTTCTCGGAGAAGACGATTATTGATACTTTTGACTCGTTTATTGCTCTGTGCAACTCTGCTGCAATATTCTCTCCTCTCTCAATTTCATCATCTCTAAAGGTGTGGATTCCTGCCAGCTCCAAAGCTCGGTAGAGGTGATCGGAAAATCCCTTGCGGGTATCTTCACCTCTGAAACTCAAGAATGCATGATAGCTACACCGGTAAAAGCATGAAGAACCATCATGCAGCCGCATAAGGGTTATAGCAGCAGCCATTGACCTAGCAATGAATGATGAAGAGCTTACATTTTGCAGTTTTCTAGCTAATATTTCACAATGAAATGTCCCAACAGAATAAAATAAGAAATTGATAGGTAAGGAGGTAGGAAATTTCTGTCATCCTATGTGTTTGAACTTTCAACCAAATAAATAAAAACAAAATTTTAAAAATTAGCACAAACTTTGCTGTCTCGTCTGAAGCCAATTTATCATTGACTTTGACTTTCTTTTTTCTTTTGGCAACATGTATTTTGTTGTTTTTCAATTGCAAAGGCATCAATTGTTTTCCAAAGACTGAAAGTCCTACAATTTAAATTACATGTTGTTCATTTCACAAGGTTGGCCGTATACATTTAAGGTTTCCTCATGTCCACTGCATTTGTCCTTTTTTGTGTGGCTTAAACGCAAACGCTAATATATTTACGACTAAGGTGTGGAGAATAAATTGGTAGAACTCACTATTCATGACATTCAAATTTATGACATCTCACTTACAAATGAAGAAGAATACCATCATATCTTAATACTAAGTAGAAACCCTACAATCTTTAAGAGGCTAAAAAAACTCTAGTAAGTAGCTAGATAGGTACCTCGAGGAATATATAAAATCCATACCTGATGAACTAAAACCTTGTTTGTTAACTCAAACCTGATAACCCGTCAAACTCGTGTTAGGTTCATGTCATGTCAAAACCTACCGCCCCTAGTTTATTACATATCTAGATCCCGTCATATATGGACATAGGACTAGTTTGGTAAACATGATTGAGTTGGAATGGAGAAGTCTCAAATTTCAATGTATATTGAACGTGAAAATGAATGAATTTTCATTTGGAGGGATTAGGATAGGATTAGCTATTAAGGAAATTCATCCCTTCTAATCCCACCACTTTTAAAAACGACTGGAACGGATACGTTTATTTCATCGAGTAATCCATCTTTTATTCTCCTAGGTGGTTATAATTTTATAGTTTCTCCCTTTAACATACCTTTAGTTTAGCGGGTTATCCATTCTTCCAATCAAGAGTACCAAACGAGCCCATGAATTATTACACAGATGTATTACCAAATACTAAGATACACTATATATATGAGGAAATCGGCCAATATTTCAAAACTCGACAGATGTATATATGGGAAACAGTTGTGTGTAGAAGTTCCGACATGTAACAAATAACAGGACCAAATATAAAGTTCCTACATCAATGATGTCTTATTGGAGCTAGGCACTCATGTCATACGCTAAAACCATCGTCTTTGCACTCTTGTACTCAAAAGAAGCTTGTTGTATCGAAAGTGCACAAGCTAGTAGCTAAACATGAAGGCAAAGAGCTACTATAGCTAACCTATAAGTTTGCAAACGATAAATTACTCTTATGTTCTGTAATATCTGCACTTTGCAGAAATGACAAAATATGAGAGAGAGAGAGAGAGAGAGAGAGAGAGAGAGAGAGAGAGAGAGAGTAGCTAGTTACCTGGTTATTGCTGCCGCTGCGTAGAAGGCATTCTTGTATGGAAAGTCAACAATTTGATGTCATTATATGATCTCCATGACATGTTGAATATCAAAGATGCTGCCAACTCACAAGAATTCCATTGAACTTGATATCAGAGAATGTATATAATTTGAATCCCTTATCAACATATGCTGTTGTACTGGAAAAAGGTAAGATTATCCGGTTAGCCTGCAAGCTGGCCTTAGTAATCGAATAAGCTTCTGGGAAGGAAGATTAATTGTTGACGAAAAGCCAAGAAAAAAATAATATAGTCCAAAACAGACCGATGTCATTAACTTGTTAATATAAATCTCTCTACATTTTATTTCATCTCAATCGTAGTAGATTCAAGGCACGACAATTAGAAGACAGATTATAGAGAATGAAACCTAATTACATATGAATGCCTACGTAACGTAAATTACATAAGCAACACCTAAATTGGGTAGCTTAATTAGTCAATGCTTTTCTAAAATACTGCAGTTGGTACTCAGCAATGTCAACCTCGTGCTTGAATAAGAAACCATTCAAATAAAAGGAGTCCCCTGGCTTGTATGAAAAATCACCAAAAGCTGGGTTCTCTTGTCTCCTTCTGAATTGAGCTTGATGGGCTCTTAACCTATGATTACAAAGAAAGTATTTGCCTCTCCACATTTCGTACATTGAATCCGACACTGTCACGTCTCCAGCAACAACGTTACTTTGGCTCCAAGGAAGTGTTGTATCTTCATTATTTGATCGAACACCCTCACCCTTATCTTCGTCCTTGTACGCAAGTTCGATTCCAAACTCTTTTATCCACAAACCGCACTTCACAGAAACCCGTATTTCGTCCCCACTCTCCAGTTCATCACTTCCAAACACCCAATGACTTAGCCATAGCATGTCTTCGTTCTCTTTTGGAAGACCCATTGCGACAGGGGAATAGGTCCACATACGACCCTTGGTTTCATTACTCACTTTGAGAAAGTGTTCACTGGCAACATGTACACCACCCTTACGATCAGGGAGTCGTGTGTATACAACGCATGCATTTAAGCCTCGGACCTTGATATTAAGATGTGAAGGTACGATAATCGACAACAACGAGTTACCCATGCTCCTGTAGCTGAACCAATCTGGAATTTTGCTCCCATGAATGAAAATGCTAAATATGCCGCATTCTTTCAGTACCTGTTTCACGGAGATGACAACTTCAAATAACTACAAGCTAGCAGTTAGATATTCAAACTTGGATAAAATCGCTCAATCATTACACCCCAGAGTCAGATTCGAATTTTGTTTTTCTTACGTGATCGATATATCTACATATATATTCAAAATAACGCATTTATCTAAGGATGATAATCTCTCCTATCATAATCATTTGAACAACTAAGCCTCTGAGCCATAGAAATTATAACCATAGTCCATAACAACAATATATGACAGAAAGAGAGAGACGGAGAGAGACACAGAGAGAGAGAGAGAACCTGAAGGCAACACTTCTTGGTTGTATATGTCAGGTAGTTGATCATTTCGACCTCGGTGCTTTCAGTGGATTCCAAGTTAAACAGGCCCACATCTTTGATCATTTCTATGTCAACGTTTCTCAACGGTTTTATTTCGAACAAGCTTTGAATTTCATCTAACTTCTCACATTCCTCAAAATTTTTACTCAATGATTCGAAAGCGTTTGGTAAATTTGTTATTCTTTTCAATGATGTACACCGACCTGCTTCCAATGTCTTTAATTTTGGTGGAAGCTCCGGAAGCATTTGGAGCTTTGTGCAACCCTCTACCAGCAGTTCTTGGAGCATGTGAAGACCGTTCATGTTTTCCGGTAGGTTTGGAATTGGGTTTGCAGATAGATCCAAATGCTTCAACGCCGATAGGACACCAAGATCACTAGAAATCTCTGATAGATTGCAGTTGGCAAGACTTAATCTTCCTAAAGAATGTGGTATACTTTTGAATGAGAAACTGGTCAATGCAAGATTTTTTCTTGGTAATACCCACGACGTTAATGATTGCCATAAGTTAGCTGATAACAGATTGAATTTCTTCATAACACTAGCTCCTGAGTAGACCTGCTCCGTTGCATTACCGAGCTTTGAGCAACCAGAAAGAATGAGAACTTGAAGAGATCCTGACCTACTCAAACTTGGAATCTTACTGAGATTTTTGCAGTCTCTTAGATTCAAAACAAGAAGTTTCTCCAAGTCTCCTATAGACTCATCAACCTCAACCAAACTTATACAATCTTTAAGAATTAATCTCTCAAGGTTAGGAAGTCCCGACATGTCAGGGGTTGTCAAAAGGCTGTGTGAATGACTGAGATTAAGAACTTTCATTCTGCCAAGAAACTGTAAAGGAGAGATGCAATTAGTTTCCATGAATATAATTGATTTCATTAATTTGTGTGTGTGTTAATTTGTGTGTGTGTGTGTGTGTGTGTGTGTGAGAGAGAGAGAGAGAGAGAGTAGTAGTATAGTACCCTGGTTCCCTTCCAAACATGTTGCAGGCTGCTATTCCGCAAGTCAAGAACAACTAGATTTTCCAAACAAAAATTGGCTGGTATCGATTTTAAAGGAAACCCTCTCCAAGACAACCATGTCAAATATTTTGGAAAATCTTCAAAGCCTCCACAGATGCTTACATTATTGAGCAGGAGCAGTTCAAGATTGTTCATCATTGTAAATGCGTCAGTTCTGAACTTCAAATCATTTGATGCGGGAGTTGAGTTTGTTGAAGAAAAGTTACTTGCAATTGATTTCCAAGAAAAGAAATCAAGCCGACGACGTCTTGAAAATTTTCCTTCATAATCTTCAACATTGCATCGTTTTTTGTTACTTTTACCAAATAATGGCTTCAAAGACTCATCTTCCATCAACACAGGCAGGTTGAGCATGAGGCCCTTAACAGTTGCCGTACCCTGCAAACAAATCGCAACATTCTATAAGTAACCAGACACGCAACATAAATCTTAATACACATACAAGCGAACGTCATGTTTTTCTTACCGTTCTTTTTCTCAAAATATTAAAGGAATCTTTATGCCACACTATCCTACGCTTTCCGGGATCTTGAGGTGATTCTTCACGAATAATTCCCCTTCCCATGTCTCTAAGTAGGTGATGCATGGCCAGCCTGTTGTCTTCATTATTGATTTTTACTAGACATCTGTCCACCAGATTTTGAATTGCAATCCTCGTGTAAAAATCAAGGTTGTCCAGTACTGTAATTGCAAAATCCTTCTCCTTTCCAATGAAGAAACCGGCTATATAGAGGAATACATTTTTGTCATTATCATCTTGTAGAGAATCATAGCTTACTCGAAGAACTTTGTGAACTTTGTCATCAGGAATTTCGCATAACTTCTGTAAAGCACTTTTCCATACATCTACTGCTTTCCCAGATAGAGAGGATCCCAAAACTTGAAGAGCTAAGGGTAGCCCTTCACAGTGTTGCACTGCTGGTCTTGAAAGTTCCATGTAACCTTCAATAGGATGGGCTTGTCCAAATGCATGCCAACTGAAAAGCTCAAGCGATTCATCCTCATTCAATTCTTCAACCTCGAACATTGCATTATCTTCATGTGCCTTCAACAAATGCTCGTGCCTGGTTGTTACGATGATTTTACTTCCTGGATAAAACCATTCCCGCATTCCAAGAATTGCGTTAAATTGATCCAAGTCATTCACATCGTCAAGAACAATAAGAACTCTCTTGTTACAGACAGCATGTTTGATCTTCATTATCCCTTCATTTATGTCGTATATTTTATCTGCTTTCCATTTTTGGATGTCCGAAAGAAGTTTCCTTTGCAAGCGAACGAGACCATATGGCTGTTCTGAATTTGCTCTAATATCTGCAAGAAAGCTGCTACCTTGGAATCTTGCATAATTGAGGTTATAGGCAGCTCTGGCAATGGTGGTCTTGCCAATTCCACCCATTCCACATATCACAGCTATACCAACATCATTTGATCCGTCTTGTAACCACATGTTTATGCCTCGTACACGATCGTCTATGCCAACAGCATACGGTGCAACGTTCAATGCTTTGGGATCCAATTTACTTCCGATCTCTTTAACAATATCTTGGATAAACTGCGACTCGTACCTATAAATTATAAATCAGATCAGAGTATAGAGAGCACAATTAGATCCTTTTTATTAATTTTTCCTGATGGATCAGAGTGAATCAATTTGATGATGTATCATCCGTTGGAAAGAATATATATGGTAAACTCCTGCTAATGCAAATTGAATATAGGGTATTAAACAAATGAATCTTTTTAAACATCCATGTCAAAATTAATCAAAAGCTAAAACATTCAAATTGAAGTTTTTCAGGAAAAAAACTTAATTACCTATTTTCCAAAACCATCCCTGCCAGATCTGCAACATCTTTAAGTGCTCTTCTCCACCCCTCCACCTTGTCCATCTCCTCCTTGAAGCGCTCTTCATGTCTACAAAATGATTCTTCGAAACTCGCAGTCTGCTTCCTCACATGGGACGGATCCACATCATAGAAAACCGGCAAAACAAAGTGTCCATCATCACTTCTTCTACGTTCCATGATCTTAACAAGTTCGTCCAAGCACCACCGCGATGAAGCATAGTCCTTGGAGAAGACAATTATCGATACTTTTGACTCATTTATAGCATTATGTAACTCTGCTGCTATATCTTCTCCTCTCTTGATTTCATCATCGTCTCTAAAGGTGTGGATTCCTGCCAGCTCCAAAGCCCGGTAGAGGTGATCAGTAAAGCTCTTACGCGTATCTGCCCCTCTGAAACTCAAGAACGCATGATAAGTACATCGGTAAGAGCGTGAAGAAGTGTCGTGCAGCTGCATGGAGCTTGAAGCACCAGCCATTGATACTATTTGCAAATGAAGAGATGAAGAACTCTACATTATTTTGCA